AGCGGGTTTTTATTATTTTATATCATTTTTAATTTTTCTATTAAGTCTAGTGAAGAAAGTCCCTAAAGATGAGAGAAATTGAAAGTAGAAGGTTATTTCGAGCAATAAATAGAACGATTTGCCTAAAGTAACGGGTTCACCAGAGAGAAGAAGAGGGGTACATCAATTTGGGAGGTTGAATCATATACTGTAGTAAAATTATAAATAAATTAAGGGTATTTTCCTGCCAGCTTCTGTGAGTCTTGTGCTGACACGTGGCATAATAGTAAAAACATAAAATATTCAGCAATGATAATATCTTAATGTTGCACAGCACTTTGTTTCAAAGCAATTTATTATTTGCAAAAGTTTTTTTTTTTTTCCCCTCATTTTACAGAAATGTCACCGCATGTTCAGTAAATGTAAATGTCTTAGTTGTTCATGGTAGAGCTGTGATTCAAACCTATATCTTTTGCTCTGGCAACTTGCAGCAGTAAGCAGCAGTTATCAGAAGAAGGACACAGGACTGAGAAGACTCTTGTAGCAGAGAATGGACAGGATGAGAACCGAACAAATTAATGTGGCTATACCATGTTGGGACACTTACAACATTCTTAAGAGACCTAGTCCTTGTCACTATCTGAATATCAATTACTGGCAAATATGAGTTATTAACCAGAACTGTTGGACTTTTAAACATGTATCTGATCACAACTACTATTGGTTTTAAGACGGCAGAAAAATAACTTTTTTTTAAATCATTTGGTCATAGAAATATTACAGCCGCCTTAATTTGCAGGCACTTTAAAAATCAAATTATTGTGTAATCAGTAGGTGGTAATTTCAGAGCTCTTTAGGGTACTCTAGTTCTAAGCATCAAATGGTTAACCCAGAGTCTGAAATTCTTCACTCTTAGGTTTCCAGTGATTGCATTTTGAAGGTACCTGCAAGCAATTTTATTGCACTGCTTTTTAAAATTCTAGTTAACATTTATTTATTCAAATACAGTAACCCTCACTTAAGCAGTGAATAACTGACTCCCACTCCCACATACTGTTCACGGTGTTAGCATAACAGCTTTAAAGTGCTTCAGAAATCTTACACAAAAGTCTTTTGAAATTATGTTCAAACTGAAGGATATATCTTTCACTTTTCTTTCCTATCAGTTTATCTTTTTCTCTCAGGAGAATTCGTTCTTTTATGGGAAGTTTCCCAAACTGAAATACCCTTCCTGAGAGATTGTGATCTACCGCACAGGGAAAAGAATACAGTGAAAGAGCCACAAAATCACAAAGATAGTGATGCACTGATGTCTTTTTTTTAAAGTTCTTACCTGTGAAATCAAGACTATCGACAAGCAATACACACTTTATGCGAGAAATAGCTATTGGTCTCAAACAAAATTACATTACCTAGCCTTATGATGAAGCCCTGGTGGCACAGTTGTTAAGAACTTGGCTGCTAACCGAAAGGCTGGCAGTTCAAATCCACCAGCCACTCCTTCAAAACCTTGTTGGGCAGTTCTACTCTGTCCTATAGGGTCGCTATGAGTCAGAATTGACTCGATGGCAAAAAGTTTTTTGTTTCTTTCAGCCTTACAATGAACGGAAAAAAATCTAGCTGTTTTTAATGGAATAAAACTCTAACTTTACTTGTTACTACTATTACAGTTTTAATTGTTAAAAAAATTATACATATAGTACATCCTTCTTGGAAACTGATCTCTAACCAGAAAGTAACTCATTTGGGAACTCTATTCACTAACAGAACAATTTAAAATGATATAAAATAATAAAAACATAAGTGTCTATATTTTATATACTTTTGGTAAATTATAGGATTATGGTAGGACATGCAGTATGACCTCCTGAGTTACTGCACTTCTTGGAAATATCTCAGGGGTCTTCTCTGGTACAAAATGGAGAACTCTCATCCAATCACAGGATTAATTTATATTAACTTTATACAAAGGGCTTCAACATTCAGGTTTTGTTTAGGGAAAAAAAAACAGCTGTTTGTTGTTTAAAAATAAATAAATAAAAATTTCACAAACACTGGTCTTTTTCTAATCAAACTTCAACCATTCTTTAAGATCCAGATTGTATTGTATCTCATTAGAACGGCCTTCCCTGACCATTCTAGAAAACCACCTCTGGTCAAATAAATATGCCTACTGCTACTCTCTTAATATCACCAGCTGCTGTTGAGCTGACTCTGATTCATGGCGACCCCATGTGTGCCACCATAGGACTGTGCTCCATAGGGTTTTCAATGGCTTATTTTTTGGAAGCACAGCACCAGGTCTTTCTTCCAAGGCATCTCTGGGTAGACTCAAACTTCCAACCCTTCAATTAGCAGCTAGTGCATTATCTGTTAACTGCTGACTCTCTTAGTTTTTACTTTATCATATGGTGTCTTATATTTACATAAAATCATCCAAATGTCTTACTTTGTCAACTGGCTTGTAACTACTTGCATCCTGAGAACATGTTTTATTTTGTATTCTTGCCACAGACTGCTAAGGATGGCACCTACTTTCTAGGGACTGACCCTTGTCCCTGCCATCTATGACTGTAGTAGAAACTGCATTACGGCTACTGGTGACCATGCTCCTTGGCCAAAGGGGAGGGTCCACCACAATCCAGATGGCTAAGTAAGAGATTGTGTGGCTAGGTTACACTCCATTCAGCAGGTGTCAATCTCTGGGTCATGGTCGGGGGATGGGGGGTGGTGGTACACAGAGGAGTCACGTGCTTGAAGTGTACAATACAGCAGGTGCGTCTGGGGACAGGCAAGGATCAAGATGAGATATATGGCAGCACTGTGATTATATATGGATTGCCTTTTGGAGCAGGATCCCTGACAGAACTAAGATACAGCGCTTAGGAGGTGGAGGAAAGTACTCAGTAGCAAGAGATCAAGGCACAGACACAAGAGGTGTATTCTTTTTTTATTGTTGTGCTTTAAGTGAAAATTTACAATTCAAGTTAGTTTCTCATACAAAAGTTTATACATACATTGTTATGTGACCCTAGTCGCTCCCCCTATACTGTGACAGCACACTCCCCTTTCCCTCCCGGATTTCCCCGACAAGAGGTGTATTCTACAGGGAAAGTGGAATGCACTCAGGTGATGAAGGCAAAACAGCCTATTCATGACGACTGAGGGCACTCGACAAGGGCTTGGGATTAAACGTGGTCAAGACCCACCTCAGGCATCCTAGACACCAGGCCTAGGATAGGAAGACACCTATCACCCCTCACCATGGGAGTGGTTCTTAATTCCAGGAATTTTCAGATTCGCTCAGAAACTAGACTGACTTTTTCTGCCCCTGCTGGGCTGTATTTGACCTCACATAAACTATTTGATTGCTTTTTCTCTTTTTGTCTCCATTTCTCTTAACCTCAGAAAACCACCTCAGACATATTGCCAACTACAGTTAATGGTTTTATAAACCACACATTCACATTTAATTGCCCACTTTGACAGACCTATAAGATTTTAAATCATTTCTGAGTATAGAGATTTCCTTCATGAAAGAAAATAACCCTTTCGTTACCAAATTATTATTAAAAAAAAAAAATTTGATGGCATGTGTTTTCAGTATCAGAATGCATGCTTACTAATTGAGTGTGTTCAAATTTTTGGTTGGTAATATGGATTTTGAGAAATATGATCGGTAATACAAGCCACCAATAAGGCAAGTGGCACTGTGGTGCCACTGATCTGTGGTATGACAATATACCAATAAGAGCTAAATAGAGAATTTGTTGCAGGCACCCTTCCATTAGGTTACATGGGGAACTTCTGATTTTCCAAATATGACATAGAAAAACCAAAACAAACCCTTTAGGGCTCCCTAACTATCACACAGCAAAACTATAATTATGCTTGCAAGCCTTATCTCATAGAAATAAAGGAAAAAAAAAAAAGGCAAAACTTCACAAAACTAACACATCCAGGAAGCATCATCTAATTGAATGCTCAACCTGCACAACAATGAGGCTCCAACGCTGGTCGGCTGAGCTTTAGGTATTTCAAACAGGACCCACCTTGATGCTAAATGCATCAGAACTGGAATAACAACGCCTTATTTCTGAGGTCCAAAGCCATAAAAAGTGGCTAGTTTACCGTGAAAGGCAGCCCTGGTGGCGCAGTGGTTGACAGCCCAACTGCCAAATCTGGTTGGCAGTATGAATCCACCAGTCACTCCTCGGAAACCCTATGGGGCAGTTCTACTCTGTCTTATAGGGTCACTATGAGTTGGAATCGACTCGACAGTAACAGGTTTTACTGTTAGAGTAACCAAAGAAATAATGTGTCCTTTGCTCCTCCTCTTTTCCCTATAATCAGTAACTAATAGCCTTGTTTCCTTGTCTCCTTCAGGCACACAGGTATGCTGGTTCAGAAAGCACCAGGCACTGAATTAGAAGATCAGGCTTTGATCCCAGTTTATCACTTCGTAACTGAGTGATCTTGGGCAAGGCAACTAAACACAGAGATTCAGTTTCTGAATACTAGAAAAAGGAGGTGCAGTTAATGGTACTTACTCTGAAGTTTCTTTCTTTCTTTCTTTTTTAAGAGAAATGAATATGTACTTGCCTAGCATAGGATTGGACTCATGGTAGGTGCTCAATAAATAATTTTTATTTTCAGTTATAGCTTCTTTTATTTTCCTTGACTCTTTACATGCACAACCACATTATTCTTATTTTCTTTATTTAAATTTGCCACTTTTTAAGGTGTGTGATTTTGGGTTACTTCCAATGATTATTTTTTTAAAATATTTTTTGAGAGCAGTAGCTGTCAATCCTGCTGCTCATTAGAATGGGCTAAAGAGTTTTTAAAAAAAGTAATAGTGCTGGGCCCCACCTTTGAACAGCTAAATTTGTATCTCTGAGGATAACCACAAAATTTGTATCAAACAGTAAGTAAAACCAAACCAAAATAAAACAGCTTAAGAGATACTGCGCACACTATACAAAAGAATGCAAGAAGGATTAACAAAATGAAACTCTTACCTTTGTTATTGTATACATCTAAGTAATTTGGTGCTGAAAAAATTGTAATTAGAGAAGGGAAGCCTGTTGTTTGGCTTTTCCTGTACATGCGATACCTAAAAACAATAAATGCAAGTTAAAACAAGGCTAGTAAGGAAAAAGGATGATGCTAAATTATAGATTCAGAAATAGAAAATTAAATGAGTTAAGTTCTATCACTCAAGGAGGATCCAGTTATATAACATTAAATAAATCTTTCTCTCTAAAGTCTGTTATACACAGACATCAATCCATCTCAGGGTGAAACTGAAAATATACAATATACAAAATATAAAATATACAATATACAATCAATGTATACAAATATACAATTTCCACATGTCTTTTAAAGCTTAGCTAACCCAAGGGGAGGTTGGAATTCTGTGGAAAAGCATAATTCATTTCCACATGTTCAACAGAGAGGACAGAGGCTAATTATTGCAAACTATACCCTTCATCAACCATATTTTTCAGAAGACAGTCAATATTTTTGACATAAAAAAGACTGAGCAAGTAATACATGGAGACTTGCCAATAATAACCTAGCCAATTAGTCTATTAATCTACAATATTCTGTAAAGGTCATATATAAACATTTTGCTTGGAGTAAGTGATTGCTTTTCAAAGAATGTCTGGTTAAATCCACGAATTTTACAAATTGAAAACTGTTTCTATTTAAGAATTTTATTTATTACCCATCCCTGCTGCTGTCTGCAGATCGAAGATTATTGTCTCAACAGGGTAATATTTAATCAATCAGTAATGAAACATAAAGTTTGTAAGAGCTATGGAAAAACAACCAACAGTCCGGTTGGTTTTCTAACGTATAAAACAACACTTGCATCCTCAAGTAATCAAAAGGTACAGAAGACTTTGACTCTTTTCCATCGTTTCCAAGGTGATAAAGTATCTCATGACTTCTATACAACAGATTTTAGGAATATCAGTATAGAGATACTCCTATAAAGCACAAAAGAAAATTTTATCACCACTTGGGTGTTTTCAGTCAGTTATTTCTGGCAGACTAACCATTTCTTATTTAGCTGGGCTCTAAAAGTATTTAAAAAAAAAAAAGAAAACCTGTTGCTGACTCATGGTGACCCTATGTGTTACAGAGCAGAACTGCTCCATAGGATCTTCTTGGCTGTAATCTTTAGGGAAGCACATCGCCAGGCGTTTCTTCCACGGCACTGCTAGGTAGGTTCAAACCACCAACCTTTAGGTTAGCAGGTGAGAGCAACCATTTCTGCCACCCAGCGACCTTTAAAGGTATAACCAACTTAAAATTTATAATTTTAACAATATTTTGATTCCTCTCTTTTTAAAACTACTGAGACATACTACTTTCCTCAGAAGAAAATATCCCTTAAAAATCTTTTGCAATGTTCTAGAAATATTTATTCTGCTTATGGGACTGAGCTTTGTTGAAAAAAAGATTGGAGAAAGATAGTAGCACTCTCAATCCTCGTACTTCGACTTTATAAACCGAGGCTATGCCTACCTGACAACAAAGACAAAAGAACTAGATAACATAACCTCAATTTCCAAATGAATCAGTCAACTGCCCACTGAAGCAAAAAGTACTGATGATTTTAATTGATACACTTAATTTTTTTTTTTTTAATAAACAGATGAGTTCAGTTATGTAGTGGGATTAAGAAAAATCTTCCCCAAATGCTCAGTCTGCCAAAAAAAGCATGGTGTTACCACAGGCCTGGAAAGTGAGAAAAATAATCTGAGGACCTGATTGGTTGGCTATATCAAAAGGTTACCTCAAACATCAGCTACAACAGTATGCGCGGGTATAGTTTTAGATCAGTTTATGCCTGTTGATTGACTGCTTGAAATAAGCCGATTTTAAACGGAACTTCGGATCTGCCTTGATTCAGGAGCGTCATAGACCTGGGCCTACGTTAGAAGGCAGGCATCTATATTCACAATTTTAGTGCACAGATTACAAAAAGGAGTATTTCTACTTGTCAGAAAACCCAGAAGGTGTCAGACTCCAAAACCCTAATGCGGATTTAATGCACCATTAAAGTTAATGTCTGATGCTTTCTAGTTTTCTAAACCCTTAAAATAAGTCTCCATTGAAAAATTTCCCAGACATTACAAGATCAATTTTATGTTTCCATTTGTTAGTTAGAACACAGAACTGTTTCCCCTATTTAAATGTCTCCTTTCTTCTCCCTTTAAAGTTTACAGGGATCTGGAATGATATTCTTAAAAATAAGAGCATAATATGGAATAGCTGTTAAATATTTATGTGTAATTCTCATTCACACTGCCAACCAGACTGAAAAGTAGCTCGTGATTTACTCACCTATGGGACAGTGGTGAGAGCAGGAATTGAGGGAAGAGGAAGTATCTGATAGTACTTAAGAAAACCAGCTGAAAATTTATTTGTTCAAGCAGAAATAGAAGACTTTAAACTGACTTTACAGAACAACTACAGATACTCACTATCCAAGACTCTGCCATACCTGTGTCATCAGAAGAGAGTTTTAAGGTATAATTCCTTCTGGGGCAGAGCCTAGTAAAAGGGAACCTCCACAGCCTGAGCAAAGTGAGGAGTGCTGACAAAGGGCAATGCATGGTTTTCACAAACCCACAAAACTGCTCACCCTGCATCTTGGGCTTCATGGGCTCGAAGTATAGATAACAAGTTATTGTGCTGTAAGAATTCACATACAGCCGGGTAACTGCCAGAGACAAAAAGAAAAGAAAGCATCTGTTATAAAATCGTCATACCTGCATTTATCTCCAACATTCAGATGTCTGTGATCTGACGAAGCATAATTAAACCTACACCATTCATGACACAAGCCTCTTGTCTCTAAGGACAGGTTTTTCCCTGTGCAGAAAAAGCACCTACAGCTGTACTTTTTACATAATCAGAAAGTAGCAGAAGTGTGAATTGGAAAAAAAATGGGCCTAATTACATAACAAGTGTCCATTCCCAGAAAAAATCGATTTTATCAAATCTGCCTTTAAACATAAAGTGAACAGAAACATAAATATAACGTGAGAATGGAATAAATCTCACATTTTCTCAAATACAGCAACATGTGTGTCTGCCTGCACACGTGTGTGACAGAGAAGACAGAGCTGGGGAGTAGAAGACAGGAAGTCTACTGGGAAATGAAGTTATCACCTTACTCAATCTTACGGACACATGAAACTGAATATACTATTTAAAATGTAAACAGAAACTATAAAAAATTTACAAAGTTTTAAAAATCTGTACTTCAAATATGATCAATGCAACTTTATCTTAAGATATTCTCTATCTTGACTTCAGTAAAGTATCAAATATAAAATGAAAATAATTTTATCTTTCAAGAAAATCTCAAACCCAAAGATAAGCACTGCATGATAGATGAAATTCAAATTACAAAAAACCTTTAAAAAAACCTTTGTGATCATTCTGTCTCTGCACTAAGAATTTTTAATCAGACAAATGTATGTCATAAAAATGGATAAAACTTTGACAGTTCACATCAAAGAACAGTAAACCAATACTAAGTATAACATAAACCACAAATAATCACTAGAACTTAAAACTATATACACTATAGGAAACAATTCATCAATTATAAAAATAGCACTTTATAATGTATTATAAAAGAGAAGATGAAAATCATTTCTGTAGTACTGATTTTATAAGAATTCCCCGATCAACAGGGAAAAAAATACCACTAAGATGGCACAGGGTTAAGGACAAATTGATTGTAAAAAGGACTCAATTCTCCAGGAAAAATGGGATCTGAAATACCAGAAGAGTTTCTGTGCGTGGGCACAAGCACACGTGTGTTGTGTGTTTGTGTGTGTATGAGAGAGAGACAGAGAAAGAGACAGAGACAGAGTGGGGGGGGCAGACACCCACGAGGCCCCCTACTTCCTAGCTGTCCCAGGCCAGCCCAGTGAATAACCATCTAACTGATAAACATTAGTGTATCTTAAACACTGGAGAAGATGGCCCAGAGGCTCTACAGGACATGTGTGCACGTGGTACCTAGGATTAGGAGTTGACCAACATGGTCTTCAAAGGCTTCTGTTCTACTGAAAGAGAAGGTGAGTATATGACCTTTGCAGATGGGAGATGTGTCAGGAAAAGAAATCTTAACTTCAGATACACTGGTTGTCTTCCCAAACTAGCAAATTTGTTTGGAACATATTTAGCATAAAGTGCCTAGCAAGGAGCAGCACAGAGTAAATATTCAATAAATGTTTGTTTCCTATCTCTTTAAGCCATTTACTTTTATTTCCTGTGTCTTCGTAATGCCTCTTTATAAAAGACGGTTTATTGTCTTGTTGCTACCACTGTCAGACAGAGGTGGTTTGTCTAGGTTTATCACCTTTTCACCCTTGGGCAAATGGCTTGGCTTCTCTTTTTGACTTAATTTTTTCCTACCGGAAGAACTTACACTAGTCTTATAAAAGCATAACTTTAATATATTTTCTTCATGTTAAGTTTGAACCCTTATGTGTTTAAGTTTTTCCCAGTTGAAATATATCTCTGATTTTTAATAGAAATTTGAAGAAAACAAAATTAACCTGGCAGCAATTTGCTAGGTTAACAGCAAATTAAGTGAGGAACACTTGCCTTAGGTAACCAAAGGGAAGTCATTTTGAAGAAAAGCATTAGATATTTAAGAGCATACATCATCAAAAATCCTTAAACTTTCTAAGAATTGATGGCATTTTTCTAAATAAACTTAGAAAAAAATTCAGAAATCAAATAAATAAGTTTAGAAAATACTTGAATATCATCTGGATTCCCATTATTTGTGAACCATCTCCCTGGGATACACTAAAATGTTTAATAAAATTAGGGGAAAAAAACAACTTCTAAAACACTTTCATGCTTTTTAATAGAAATGATCATAAACCACAGTGTGTTCAAAGGGAAAAGCATTTTAAAAATATATACGCAGAACACTTGGAAAAGCAGAGTTCCAAACACTTCAATACTACACAGAGAGTTGGAAAATCATTTATTTCCCCCACATTTATTAAAGGCCCACTGGTGACTTGATCCATTTGCTAGAAGCACTGTGTTAGGCACAGAATAGGGGTGGTGAGGATGGTGGTGTGGGTTAGGTGGGGGTGGTAAGATAGATGCAAGGCCTGGTGTCTATAACTAAGGATGATTACAATCCAGGCAGGAAGGTGGAACATACTAAAATAAACAACAACAACAAAAAAACCCCAGAATCTAAAGAATACAAACACATTAATGATAAAATAATACAAGTTTTATAGAGACATTATAAGGCAAGAAAGAAAGCATTTGGGGCTGGCTAGATTAATCAGAGAAACCTTTTTGAAAAACACCTATCTTGTGCTAGATCTTGAAGGAAATGATGCATGAGGATCAGTAAATAGGAAAGAGGTTAGAATTCCACGCATAAGAGAGGGGGGAGGGACAGGAAATAGACTGAGCATGGACAAAGATAAAGAAAACAGAAAAGACAAAAATGTAAAAAAAAACTGACTTGGAATTAGAGCAAACAGCTACTATTAGGCTTATTCTGTTTATTCTCTTATTTCTGTTTCTTGCTGTATTAAACTATGTTTTAGTCTGTGGACTACATCTAGATTTCAGACTGTAACCACGATATAACCAGTAGGCATTATTAAAAAGTTTTTCATGCTTTTATGCCTTTACATATACTTTCCCTATGTATTTTTCCTTCTGGAAAGCGCTAGTCATCTGCCAAACCTTAGATAAATTATCACCTGTGACCTCTTCCCTTCAAGCCGACCTCACCCCTAGGTGTACAAAGTTGCTGCAGCCATTATAGTCTCACAATGTATGTATCCAATATATCACTTATCATGTACTGTAAATTATGTTTACACATCTTCTCTCCACCTATACAGTGAATGCGTTAAGGGAGGGACACTGTTTTATCCGTCTTATATCCTAAATGCTTAGAAGCCATTTGTCAGCTTTCTGGAGCTCAAGCACTATTGCTGGAGTATCCTCAACAGGGCAGTCAAGCAGGTGAAAGATGCAAAGTCTGTCTTTCCTTCATTGTTGCTTAGGTTGAAATTCTTGGCCAAGGTGCCAGGAGGAAGCCTTCTCCTTGGTGTCTTCACATTCTCCCAGCCCCAGTCGTAGGGAGGACCCTGCCCAACTGTTCAACTCCTCCTGCGTTTCTTGAGGTTTGCATGCCAGGCACACTCAATTAGGAAAATGGGTACTTAGCCCTGGGGTGCCCTGGAGTTTCCCGGATGCTGGCAGACTTATCTTTTCCTAGGACTTGCTGTGTTTCTTTTTTTTTTTTTGTTCCAAGGTTCTCCAACTAATTTTATTTTACCCACTAGGGATCAAGTCCTGAAAGGCCCCAACTCTCCCTGCTAGAAATTCTCTAGAACTGATGTCTTCACTTGTACCTGCTGCCTCAGGACCAGCAGCTAACGTTCACTTAAGGCAAACTTTCCACTGAAGTATAACATCTGTACAGAAAAGTGCACAAGCCAGAAAATTACAACTTGATGACCTCTTACAAAGTGAACACTCTGGTAACTAGCACGAAGATCAAGAAACAGAATTTTACCTGAATCTCATAAACTCCTCATATTCCCCTCCAGTCATCAGCACTTTCTCGTTAAGGGTAACCAGCATCTTGACTTTTAACATTGTAGATTCGTTTTCTCTAATATTATTTAAATGGAATCATACAATATGTGTTCTCTATTATCTGGCTTCTTTCATTAATCATTATGCCTGTGAGATTCATCCATGTTGTTATGTATAGTTGTAGTTAGCTCATTCTCATTTAATGCATTTAATTATACAAATATACAATAACTTATTATTCATTCTACTAAATGTAAATTATTTTTTTTTTCCATTTCTTAGCTACTATAAATACTGCTGCTATGAACAATCTTGCGTTATGTCTTTTGGTCCACGTATGCACACATTTCTACAGGACAGAAAACTAGAAATGGAATAGCTTGGTTATGTTTATGTTCATCTTTAATAGATACCGACGTAGCTAGCTGTAATCTGGGATTACAGGTGAAGTGAGACCATTGAGATGGCCATCTTTTCAGAATTCAAAAGCCCAGAATGTTATCTCCCCTCATATTTTCGAGAACACAACTTTCTCTGCCTGCAAGAGCCTTCCCCAGTGACTTTTCTTGGATATGCTCTACTCATCATTCAAACTCACATCTGATAACACCTCCACAAGGAGTAGTTCCTTAACCTCCAATCCATCCCGTTTGGGTTAGGCCCCCAACTCTGTCTGTGTATACGTGTGTGTGTTATCAGCCTATGCAACATTTAATGTAGCACTACTCACCTTGCATTTTATTTGCCTATTTTTGCTTATCTGTCTCTTACACTAGACTGTCATTTCCTGGAGGGCAGGGACTCTGAGTATCTATAAAACCAAGCCAATGTTTGTTAAATGGCTGAATGAGTGAACTCTCAAAAAGGATATATATGAATGGGGGGGGGGAATGAAGAGGACTGATAAAATTGGTAACAGGGAGCTCAGGTGTGATTTCTTCAACTACTAAGAGAGAGTATCTTGAGTTCAGAGTGGGAAAGAGGGAAGATGGATTATCTAGATGCTGATGATAAGACGGTATCACCAAGATGCAATAACTGTACTAATTTAAATGAAAGAATAAAAAGCAAAAATACTCACTGGTCTACATAACATGGAGAATGAACTGTGAA